TATAATTGCATCTATTATCTTCACTTCTGAACTCTGTACATTCTGCAAAGCTTCCATTCTCAAATGAACCTGAACCCGAACCCGAACCCGAACCTAGACTCCGTGTAGAACCAACTTCCATTTTATGATTCTCACAAACCCAAAATCTAAAAGACAAATAGCAGAGGATTAGGGTTCAAGGGAAGAAGAAGGAATAAAAAATGCAAATGATTTGGGGTTCGGGTTTGAAGAAGAAGGAATCACAAGACAAGGTGCAGAGGATTTAAGGTTTTTAGAAGAAGAAGAAATCAAGATTTACAAAGGATTTAGGGGTTGACAAAGAAGGAATCAAGGGTTCCAAGAAGAAGGAATCAAGAGTGGTTCTAGAGGATTTATGGGTCGAAGAAGAGGGAATCAAGTTTTATCTGCAGGCATCACCGATTACATGAGGCAAGCTTTCTCGATTTCTAGAAATTGAGCAGTTGGAAACATGGAAGTAAATGCCAGAATGGTTGTCGGTTATTACCAAAAGATTTAGGGGTTTTCAACGAAGAAAGTATCTAGGGGTTAAAGGGGAAAAGGAAACAGAGAGTAAAGTGAAGAATCTGGAAGAGGAATGAAAGTCTGCATCGATAAAAGCAGACAATGACATGTTTGCCCCACTATTCTGTTTTATTTAGAAGGTTGGAGGGACAAAAATCAAATGCGAAATAAAAATTGGTGCCACATCATCAATTGGTTGAGTTATTTTTTCCACATAGGCATGGAAAAATTAAAAGTGGTAATTGTTGGACACTTCACATGCCAGGTATGCAGTCTATCAACGGAAGGACCATTTGGGTTACAGAAAAATAAAGTTAAAAGATGACTTGGGTGCTTTCTGAAGTTAAAGGACGAACTAAGTTCTAAAATGAAAGTTTAGGGACCAAATTGGGTATTAAACCTTTTTGTTATTTTATTATGAACATCTCCACTTGATGTATTTAGTTTTTTGCAATTCAATTTATTACTCTATGCCCTAAATTCATCTTCGTAGCTCCTTTTAAGTTTAGTATTATGTTTCAGCTTTAATTTCATTTCATATGCTTTCATGCTTTCGCAACAACATCACACTTCCTCTCTACAATCTAGTTTTTTTGCCATGCACTCTCTTTCTTCTCCTTTTCCTTTATTTTTCTCTTTTAGTTTGATTAGCAAACTAACATTTTGGCTCTAGTTGTGGGAAATCCCTAATGTTCTTTTAGGGCAATTATTTATGGACCTTTATGCAGAAATGCATCCCCGTTTTTGTGGCAATCGTCTGACCAGGGCATATCTCATAATTTATTTAATCGGTGCTCTTCCATCAACTTGCAGCTGAGTTCCATGCTTGGAAGTAGTGAGGGACACTAAGAATCCCTCTTTCTCACTTTGAACAAAGTGAGTGGCACACCTTTGTAGTCTTATCTACGACGCAGCCAGAAAGGGAGAATTTGGAGACAACAGTAGCACATTATGGTTGGGAGGCAGCATGCTTCAGTTTCAATTTCTAGGTAATTTTTCTTAAGCATCAGAGCATCAAGTTGCCAGGTTAGCATAAAAAACAAGATCAAGCATTCCACTCACAAGTCCCCAAGCATTCCCTTCTTCTCGACTTAGCTAGGAAATCCACAGTTTCAGACACTATTGGAGATTTGCTGTTGGCCAACATCCTCGAGTAGAACGAGATGGCCCGTGGCATGTAGCCTCTCACATGTGAAACAAGTGCTACCAAAAGGATCCTCCTCATTTTCTTAGGTGTCATCCTAGTCAACCTCCATATCATCATTGTTGTTGATCAATCAACCTACATCACTTGCACACCCCCAACAAGGGTTTACTTTTATAATATATGTGTTTAGTCATTTATTGACATGATACATTTTAAATGTAAATTTACAATATTACATTGTATTCTAATTACAAAATTGTCATTTTATGTAAATGATATAATTTCAATGAAAAAAATGGATAAAGAGTACATTGAAGAAATGCTAAATTAGGGCTCGTTTAGTGATGTTTTAGTTGCTCTTTTTCTCCTTTTGTTGTCAAAATTTAAGTAATATATACCAAGTAATCAAAAAA